ACCACTAACACTAACACTAGCGTTAAGCATTAAGCACTAACACTAACGCTAACAATAGCACTAACATTCTAGATCGTTATCATCGGTAACAGGAGTCTCAACAAAAATTTGGATATTTCACGAGCTTGTTGATTCTTCCTTGCGCTAGATCGATTTCGTTTAACGTAGATGAATTTACTCGTCCCTAGATCCAACGTAATTCCCATCGTGCTTTCAACACGATAGAAATAGATAGATAGGTAGGTAGGTAGGTAGGTAGATAGGTAGGTAGGTAGGTAGGTAGGTAGGTAGATAGGTAGGGAGAGAGAGAGAGGGAGAGAGAGGGAGAGGGAGAGATAGAGAGAGAGTGAGATAGATTAGTCCGTCTAGAGTAGGTACGCTATGTTTAATAATACCTCGACACATTCGCTGTCTCCTGGGACACCCATCGATCCTACAGCCCGTAATTAATTATCACCCGACAAGGAAGCCAGAATTATTTCTGGCCTTGCCTTCTGACCGACTAGAATGGGACAGAGAGAGAGAGAGAGAGAGACAGAGAGAGAGAGAGAGAGAGAGAGAGAGAGAGAGAGAGAGAGAGAGAGAGAGAGAGAGAGAGAGAGAGAGAGAGAGAGAGAGAGAGACAGAGAGAAGGGAATCTGCAATTTAATATTAGCATATGAGACATCGCAAGAATATTCCTTGAATGTTAGGCATTAAAAATCAAAAAACAAAGAGAGAGAAAGAGAGAGAGAGAGAGAGAGACGATACTATGAGATATGTCTACTAATTAATATCTATTAAATAATTCGTATTATTTCGATTTATTCAATTACCTTTTATTACCAATTTACCTTTATCTTTGTTTATTGATAATTATATATTTATTGTTCATCTTCTGTATATATATATATATATATATATATATATATATATATATATATATATGTTTTTGTTTCTTTCTAATTAATTTTCATTCAAATATATTTGTTTATTACTCTCTTTTCTCTTCTTCTTTTTTCATTTCTTTTTCTTTCTTCTTTTTTTGCCCTTCAATTTCCACACGAAATTTTTGGAATATTTAACGATTTAGTCGAAAAATCTGTAAGAATTCTTAAGAAAGAAGAAGAAGAAAAAGAAAAAGAAGAAGCAAAATAAGAGGAAGAAGAAGAAGAAGAAGAAGAAGAAGAAGAAGAAGCCACAAAGTCCCTACGAAAGTGGATAAAATAGGAGTCTGCTTCCGTAGGATTATTTCACGCGTGAAAGAAGGAAAGAGCTAGGAGGAGATGAGAACTTATGTGTATATATATTATACATATATACATATACATGAAAAATAAATAGATAGTTACCATACAAGTCGAGTATATATATATATATATATATATATACGTGTATATGTGTGGATCTATATATACATATATATATGTATGTGTGTTCGCTAAGTTCTGATATAAAGGCAGCTCGCAAAAGAGGAGGTCGTATTGTTAAGCAGCCATCCGAAGAGCAGGCATAGACAGAGAGAGAGAGAGAGGGATGGAGGGAGGGAGAGAGAAAGAAAGAGAGAGAGAGAGAGAGAGAGAGAGAGAGAGAGAGAGAGAGAGAGAAAGAGAGAAGAGAAGCACAAAACTAAGTTCGTCCCGCGTATTTAAACTTTTATTCGAAAACTTTTTAGTATCATTTCGCATCCTGCTAGATGCCGTGCGACCTTGCGTCCTGGTTGTTTGCAAGCCAAAAAGGAGAATAACGAAAGAAAAAAAAAAAAAAAAAGGAAAGAGAGAAAGAGAAAAAGAAAGAAAGAAAACGAGAAAAAGGAGAAAAAAAAGAGAAGTAAAAGGAAAGAAATGAAACAAGAAAGTAGGATAGAGAAAAGTATTCGCAAAGGGCATTCGAGTACGAACGAAGGGACTCGTCTACGACTTTTCTTCTATATATAAAAATATATACATACCTCGTATGTATACATATATACATTACATATATAGATAAATAGATAGATAGATAGATAGATAAATATATATATATATATATATATATATATATATATATATATAATAGACAAAATGGCAGATGAAAATCGAGCTAGGTTTTTACTGGAGCTTCTCTCAAGAATTTCTAGCGATACACGCGAGACCAACCCTTCCTCCTATCCCACCCCTTCTTTTACCATAGAACCCCTACCTCGTACTCGCGAAAGATCGCAATTTGTATAATCCAGGCGATTATGGGAAACGAGATAAGTGGAACACTATCTTACACGTAAGATGCGCCAAGCGTATAAAAGTGTACGGGCCCCTTGTCGGACATCACACGGTGTGAGCTAAGGTCTTTGCCAGGAATACAATACAGCCCTGACTTTTAAGAATGATCGTCTTTCTAAAAAGTTTCAATTTATTCTTCCTTAACTCTGTTATATTTAGTTTTGAGATAGGACTAAATGGATTTTTCTTTCAAATTTTCCTTTTTCTCCTTCTTTCTTTCTTTCTTTCTTTCTTTCTTTCTTTTTCCTCTTCTTTTTTTTTATCTTTTTTTTATTTTTTATTTTTTTTTTTTCTTTCTTTTTCTCTGCGAAAAGTTCGCGAATTTCTTCATTTTTATTCCACATAGTTTGCACAATGAAAGTTTCAGGTTTCTCTTCTCTATTCTCTTTTCTCCCCTTAACGGTATTCAGTTTAAAAGCAAAAGAAAAGAAAAAGAAAAAGAAAAAAAAAACAACAAGAAAAATAGACAATTATTAATAGATACGTTGATTGTCAATTTAATTTTCTATATATTGATATATCTAGTATTAATATATTTAGCATAATAAATTTTTCACATATCGTTACATGATAAAATAAAATTCATTGTCGTAACTTTTAACTTAAATAATTATCACATTAATTGTACGATAAATTATATCATTGATTGACGTATGCCCCTCGTGAAAGAAATTTCATTTGCAAATAGATCTCTAAAAAAGAAAAAAAAAAAAAAAAAGAAAAGAAAAAAAAAAATAAATAAAGAGAAAGTCGTTCGCGCGCCATCAGTTTTGTCATCGCTTTTATGTAAATAAAAGAACAAAACAAAAAAAAACAAAAAAAAAAAAAACAAAAAAAAAACAAAAAAAAAAAAAGACAAAGAAAGAAATTATATGACGTTCCATCTGCAATTTCTTTATCTCACGGAGAAAAATAATAGGCGATTGAAAAAATGGGAAGTTTCCCTTAAAAGTGGGAAGGTCATTCGTAAAGATCGAACGACATTGAACGAAGAGAGACATTCCGTTTGATTTTCTCGCGCGAAAGCATGCTTTGTCCGTTCGATGGGACAACGTGATCGTTGGGACATCGAATGCAACAAGTTGAACTTGGCTCGTTTTCAAAGAAGCTGTTGGAATTGATCAAGCTGACACGCGAAAGCTCGTTTTACAGCGTCACTCCAAAACGGAACGATTGTATTGAAATCTTAGTTTATTTTCTAATTGATAAAAAAAAAAAAAAAAAAAAAAAAAAAAAGAAAGAAAAGAGAAAAAAGAAATAATACATTCGAATTCGTGAAGATTAGCCGATACGAAAAAATCGCAATTTTTTTTCCCGTTCGAACTTTTTTAATCACGACGTTTCTAAAGCACATCGACGAAATCAGTTCTTTTTCTTCCTTTTTTTTTTCCTTTTTTTTTTTTCTTTTTTTTTTTTAATCCTTCCATTAAGACATTAGATTTAAACGAAAAAAAAAAAAGAGAGAGAAAAAAACAAGTACATTCCAAATCAATGTCTTTTTTTTTTTATTAATGTTTTTAAAATAATAGAAATTATTTAAATATCTACAGAAAAATTTGAGATAAAAATCAGGCTATTCTAAGATATTTGTCGAATTGTGATGTATTGAAAAAAAAAACAAAGAAATAATAGTAGTAATTTTCTTTTTTTTCTACTTTTTTTTTCTTTTTTTTTTTTCTTTATAATTTTCTTTTTTTTAAGTACATAATTCTAATCCTTTTAATCCTCTTCAAAATCAATACTATTAAAGAATAAAACACAATAGAAGAAACAGAAGAAGAAGAAACAGAAGAAAAAGAAGAAGAAGAAGAAGAAGAAGAAGAAGAAGAAGAAGAAGAAAAAGAAGAAGAACAAGAAGAAGAAGTTACAACGACAAGTAACAAATATTCTCTCTCGCGACTTTTCAATCAAGCCAAATCACAAACGTACGCAACGAAAGATATTATAACACCAACAACACCAACAACAACAACAACAATGACAGCAACAACAACAACAACAACAACAACAACGATGACAGCAATAACAACAACAACAACAACAACAACAACAACAACAACTGCAGTAACAAGCGACGATGATCGATCGTTTTGATATGAAAAACATGATGGATGCCGAAAAGACGGCTTGCTGCCAGTCACGGATTCGAAGTTTTTTTTAGCTGACAGAAGACAACGCTGACGCTCTTTAATCTCCGTTCCTCGATAGAAGCTTCAACTTCCATTTGAATACGTTTGAGTTCGATACATCGACGTGAACCTGGTTTGAATGCTGCACGCGACGACCATACGCGCGTGATGTGGAATAGTGCTGTGTAGAGAGAAATAAAAAGAGAGAGAAAAAAAATAGAAAGAGAAAGAGAAAGAGAGAGAGAGAGTGAGAGAGAGAGAGAGAGAGAGAGAGAGAGAGAGAGAGAGAGGTGGTTGTGCATGCTGGATTATCGATGGATAGAGAAAGGAAGAGATATATGATAAATGTTTAACATCATAACAATGATATTGGACGATCCACGAAAAAAGATATTAAAAAAAAATAAAATAAAAAAAAAAGATCGAGAAAGATAGAGAGAGAGAGAGAGAGAGAGGCAGAGAGAAAGAGAGAGAGGGAGAGAGAAAGATAAAGGGAGAGAGAAGGTATATATATATATATAAAAAAAAAAAATAAAAAAGTCCTCTCCGAAAAGAATCGCACAACTTGTGCGCGTTTTTGCGCTTATCCTATGACTGGGTCACATGAGAAAAGGTCCTAATCTATTTTCAGGACGAGCGAGCACACCTCCACCAGCAAAAAGGCCGACCACCGTGTGGCCATCCTCTTACAACCCGTATTCTCCGAAAAGGACGGAAAGACCATCGCCACCGAGCGAAGAGAGGGTCGACAGGCCTGAACAGAAACTACGTGGTGGTTACAGTACAGGTGAGGCTTTCATTCTCTCACCTGACCTCGTCACCCTTCCATCTTTTCTCTCTCTCTCTCTCTCTCTCTCTCTCTCTCTCTCGCTCTGTCTCTATCTATCTATCTATCTATCTATCTCTCTATCACACATAAACACATAGCCACATATATGCTCACTCACTTATTCTCTCTTTTCATTTTATTTTTCAACACTTTGGTCCATTCATCGAAATGTCATTTCTCTTCGTCAGTCATCTCTATCTATCCATCTATCTATCTACCTCTTTCCCTCTCTCTCTGTCTTTTTTCCTCACTCTCTTTCTCTCTCTCTCTCTCTCTCTCTCTCTTTCTCTCTCTTTCTTTATCGCTTAAATTTCTTTTTTAAATATTTATTTTCATTCATTTAACATCATTATATATATATTGTACATATTATATCTCGTGTAATGGCTTTAAATGACTTTAAATTTTAAGCTTACAGGATCGATAAGAAATATTTTCCATTTTCATTTTTTGTTTGTTTGTTTGTTTGTTTGCTTATTTGCTTTATTTATTTATTTATTTATTTATTTATTTATTTATTTATTTATTTATTTATTTATTTATTTATTTACCAGATATATCCATTATATTGACCTATCTCACTGTTCCTTCTGTTTCTTTTTTTCTCCTTCTTCTTTTTCTTATTATATCATCTCTTTTTTTCCCCGTTTCTTCACGTAGCAATCAACCCTTTCCTTTCTCTTTCTTCTTCGTTTCTTTTCATCGGAACAGCCGCCGAACGTTTTTTTCATCCAAACGTCACGTACACACTCCGCTCGCTTTTAATTTTCTTCGAGGCTACGAATCTCCAAATCAAATGCAAAGTTCAAAGAAAAACTCAAAGTACTTAGGTGCAACTCGTATCATGGATAAGACAGAGGGGAAGGTGAAAGAATTAAGAAAGGGAAGAGAAACTATGTGAGTTCTCTCTGTGAAATATGCAAGGTCATTGTTTCTTTTTCCTTTTTTCTTTCTTTCTTTTTTTCGTTTCATAAAACTCTTCTTCTCGTTCTTTCTCTCCCTTCCTCTCTCTCTCTCTCTCTCTCTCTCTCCCTTTTTCTCTTTCTCTCTCTTAAAACTTAAGATATTCCATCCATTTACCAGATCGAAATGCGCAACGATCCGATATCGTATTCTCTCGTCGAGTCTATCGTTCCACTCGAGAGCTCGAACGTTATCCTTTGGAAGGATAATCCTATCGTAAGATTCCTTTTAGGATCACTTGCCCTTGGAGTAGGTAGTATTCCAACACTTTCGAAAATTCGTAAACTTTCCAAAGTGTCAGCACAATAGATAGATCGATCTATCTATCAAAAGTTATATCAGTAAAAACATTATAATTTGTTAAAACATAATTGAAATTATTTTGTTACGTCAAACTGTAATAAACATAATTGCAATCGTAGTTTTCTTAAGTTCTCATGATTCCATCGATAAATCAATCGATTATTATTACAAGCAAACGTATCCAATTTTAATACATAAACCAACTTATTTTATAATATCAACATAATAATTTATATATATATATATATATATATATATATATATATATATATATATGTATAATCATACAATCGTCGTTTATTATTAGACCACATAATTATAATCAATCGTACGTATCGATTGCATATCTATGATTGAACATTTTACATCTATCGAAAATTACTACATATTCCCATATAAACCCTATCGAAATGATACATATCAGTCTACATATATCAATATAACGATACAAACGATTTCAAGTACGCGCAAGCTCGTATACAGAATTTAATCCCTAGAATGATATTAGGGAACGATCCTACTGTGTCATTTCCCATTGACTTTCATCCATTAATACTCATTAGCCGAGCAAATGTTATCTATCTATCTGTCTATCTGTCTATCTGTCTATCTATCTATCTATCTATCTATCTATCTATCTATCTATCTATCTATCTACCTTTCTCTTTCTTTTTTTCTTCTCTCTTTTTCTAAAGCAGAGATTCCCAGAGCATGGATCAGATTAAATATTAAAATATGTGAATAATTTATACATGTTCATCGAAAAAATTTTATTCGTCGAGAAATCTAGAACGAACAATTCAAAATCAATTCAATTAAAAATCACATGAGAATTACTATCTTTATCTAGTTTCTTTTCAAATTGCAGATACATATATACATACATGTATTATACATATACATATATATATATATATATATATATATATATAAACAATTATGAATTGTTTATCGATCAAGTCTCGAAAGTAATTACACTTTCTAGTGCGTTAAGAGAAATTATCGTTTTCGAGAACGTACAAGATTCTTGGCTCATAAAAGATAAAAAGAAAAAAAGAAAGTTTGAAAGGAAAAACTCTAGAGAATAAAAACTTTCTAATTTTCGACGAATGATACATATAGAAACAAAAATAATAATAATAATAATAACAGATAATGGATCTCTCTTCCTTTTAATCCCCCACCTCTCATCTCTACCCTTCAAAAAATAAAAGAAAAAAGAAAAGGAAAAAAGAAAGAGAGGGAAAAAGAGAACATAAAAAAAATTCTCTTCCCTTGTTCGATTTCAACTTACTCGTGAGACATATATACATATATAATTCAACGTGCAAACTTTCCCTTTAACCGAAGCGAAAAGATCAACGAATGGTAGCTTAGAAGAAAAGTAAGAAAAGATTTCGAAATGTCATCGATAGCAAAGTTAGAACGAAGTGCTCTAATAGAAAGAAAGAAAAAAGAAATAATAAAGAAAGAGAAAGAAAGAAGGAAAGAAAGAGAGAGAGAGAGAGAGAGAGAGAGAGAGAGAGAGAGAGAGAGAGAGAGAGAGAGAGAGAGAGAGAGAGAGAGAAACACTTCTACCATACTATAAAAAATATTATAATGCAAGTTGTAAGAAGAACGGAAAGATACGTAGCAAGTTCGTTTTATTTCTGCAGCGGGACGCATTAAAGGTGCAACGATAGTTCCTTTAACGCCATCTTTCTATGTTCACTTTCATGTTTTTCCTTGCGTTCGTTTGTTCTCTTCTTGAACAAACAGACAACGTAAAATAAAGAACATACATACATAGCAATTCTCGATATATTTCTTTATTTTTTTTTATTCTTTACTTCTTTCTTTCTTTCTTTCTTTCTTTCTTTCTTTCTTTCTTTCTTTCTTTCTTTTTTTCTTTTCCTCTCTTTCTTACTAGTGCACATCCGCTCTGTGAATATCTAATCTAATAAAATAGTGATATAATGTTTTCTACCCTTAGAAAAGCGAGAAAGAAAGAGAGAATGAGAGAATGAGAGAGAGAGAGAGAGAGAGAGAGAGAGAGAGAGAAAGAGATGCAGTCGTTGCAGTCGTTGCAGAGTAACATTTGCGTGCTATATGTCTATGTACGTGTAACGGATACGGTTCTTCCTTACGACCGGCTGTTGCAGCTGCAACTTGGACAAATAAAGGATATACTTTTTCGTAGAGCAGGATACCCAAGGAATCTCGAACTGTAACGTCTTAACATTACGAAGAAAGAAAAAGAGAAAGAGAGAGAAAGAGAAAGAGAGAGAGAGAGAGAGAGAAAGAACACGAAGAACATTTTCTTTTTCTTTTTCTTTTCTGCTATTTTTTTTCTTTCTTTTTCCTATTTCATTTCCCTCTTTCAAAAACTATCACTTCGAGAATGCAAGGATCGTCTAACGATTGTTCTTTTCTTTTTTTTTTTTCTTTTTTTATTTCCCTCTTCTTTGTATTTTCTTTTTTTCCTTTCATTATTTATCTTTTCTTCCTTTTCTCTCTTATTACTCTTCTCTCTCTCTCTCTCTCTCTCTCTCTCTCTCTCTCTCTCTCTCTCTCTTTTTCTCTTTCTCCGTCTCTGTCCTTCGTTTTTAACATCCAAACGAAATCCTTTTGCATATGTGTTAGAGTACTACGAGGTAGCATGAAGAATAGAGAGTATTATCTCGTTTCCGTGTAAGATTAATCGATGACTATTAAAGCTCAACAGGCAGTCAGGATGCGATCGATCGTTGCCAAAGTATTAGCATAACTCTGCAATCTGCTGCATTTATTTGCCATACAAACTCGTTGGAACATAGGGCTCTTCCTAACAGTCGACTTAATCTTATCTACGTCAAGATAATTTGTGATTAATATTAGACGATTTTACTATTGATTCACATATATATATATATTCATATATATATAGATATTCACATATATATATATATATATATATATATATATATATATATTATTGTACACGTTAATTATTATACATATATACATATATATTATTTATCTATTATCTCTAATATTATTAAAAATATTATCTATTAATATATATATATATATTTTTTTTTTTGAAAATAAACAAACAAAAGAACAAAAAAGATATATATATATATATATCTTATTAATAAATTAATTTTTTTAATTATTATTTTCTTTTTGTATAATAATTTTCATTGATTGTTACGTTGAGGCTTTTTTTTGTACTTATAATAAAAAATTCATAAAATATGAACATATACATATATATATATATATATATATATATAGAAAAGCCCTAACGCATAGAAGTTAACGCAACAGCGTCTAGCAGGTTACTTGAAATATGCATGTCCTCGTCCTTTAGCACATTTAGCTAGAAATTACGTAGGAGTAACACGCGCTTCCTCTATAGCACCATGTTAATATTAACTACGAGCCCTCTCGAATGTTATCCTTCGAGGTATCCGAAACTCCTCCCCGTTAGGATATCGAAGCTCCTTGATTGTCTCCCTTTTAGGGCTGTCCCATTTCTCTCACCCCTCAACCCCTCACTCCTCCCCCATTCTACCCATCAATGAGTCACGTGCGCTTGTAACGCGCGCACACGCGACCGTTAATTTATACACACACGTTTGCATATTAACTATTACGTGTTCTCGTATCATCATATGATTTTATAGACATTGAATATTTTCCTAGAGTTTAGAATGTTTTATGATGAC